TTCTCGGCAACGTCTGGGTTGGGCAACCGGAGGACAGATGTAGAAGACTCCTATATTCTAGAAGCGCGATTGGTAAACGGCATACACATGCACCTTTTTGTTTCCTGGTCTATTTCCTCGCCCTTTTCGCTTTCTCTCCACCTGAGGCAGGTTACCTTACCTAGCATCGTGAGGGTGTCTCTGCCACATTCTGACCAGCGACTAGGCTTAGTCAAATTTACATCAGCAATTATCAGTATGGGACTTGCTGACACAGTCAGTCGTGGCCGGGCGCTATGACGTTGATGGCCGGAGGCACCGAGCTGGGTGCCTGAGGTCACACAATGCTTTGGAGAAACCCACCCTAGCCCAATCAGCAGGCGGCAATTCTCCCCAGTTTCCCTCTCTCGTCCAGGTCGTCCTCCAGCTGCTTGCTGCTCGTAATTGATCCGATCTCACGTCAAAATTGAGTTGCTGAAAGCAAGCTATAATACCTACCTACCTTACCACAAGGTACACTCATGCCTGGACGTGGACATAAGACCACAGAACAGGGAGCTTAAGCAGCACTGTCAAATTATCGCATCGCGCTCGTGCTTGTCAATTGTCTTAGTGCACTTCCGTGACTGACTAAGGCGTCGTTTCTCCTTTCTTACCCCTTTCTACGCATCTCTCCCTGTTATCCTCATATCAGTGGCAAAGTCCTCTGTAACCGGCTTGACGGCGACTCAGATAACACCCCGTTCGTGCCTGGACACGCGGCATAAACTGCGGCACGTGCGGTCATGCCAACAGAGGTTTGATGGTTAAATATTCAGAGCTCCTGAGAGCAGGGGGGTCAAGAGAAAAGCGCAGATCTATTAATTTTGGGTCTCATCTCGTTCCATGACCAACTCCAGCACTGGCAAAGCCTCGCTTCCCCGTCGCACACTTGCAACCAATTACGGGTCCATTCGAACTCCATACTGAGCGAAGCGCCCTATTTTCTACGGAACCCATCAACGTTGAGAGAGATACCGCAATCAGTTGGTCCTAAAACTGAGGACTGGGGTGACGCACAGCAAGCCTTCCATCTCGTACATCAACATGGGAAACAAACATAAGAGAGCAGAACATGGCAAGTACAAATAAAAGCTCTTTATCCGAGGTATAAATTCCGTTCCTTGCTGTATGTCGTTGAAGCGTCCGCCATCATGACTGCGATACAAGAATCAAGGATAGTTCGAGTCGCATGAGAAGGGTATATGAAGTGGAGGGAAGGGAACTAGCCGGCGGTACGAATGCCAGTACAGGTACAGGCTTAGTTGTTGACCTTTTCGTTCACGACGTCCTTGGCCTCCTCCTTCTTGTAGTGCATGACGTCTCCAACCCAGATGATGATTTCGCTCGTAGTGATGAGGGTAGTGCTAACGATGGCCTTGCCGTAAGTCACCAGGTTCTCACCACCAACCTTCTTCTTCTCCTGGGCATACGTCTTGAAGACGTGGTCCTTGGCCTCGAAGCCGGTACGAATCGGCAAGGCGATGATGCCCTTGGCCCCAGCATAAAGTTCCTCAGTGGGCTTCTTGATGACGGGGACGCGCTCCTCGACCTTGGTCAGGGTCTGGTCGCCAAGAGCGTCGGCCTTCTCCGCGTAAGGGCGCAGATAGCCCCAGGGCCGGGCCAAATAGGGAAGGAGAGGGGCGGCAAAGGTTTGGTAGGCAGAGTCACCAATGGCGATCGACTTCTTGCCGAAAGGGTTGTTCCTGAAGGCGACAACGCCGTCGTGAATAACGGGAATGTCCAGCAGATGCTGTGTCATTGGGTCAGCGCCGACAGTACAAAGCTTCGGGTGTATTGCGAGCTTCTCACCTGAGCAGTGGCTGAGTTAACAGCCGGGAGGTCACCGTTGACTTGGGCCATTTTGGACATGTAGGCGGCTGTTCGATGGTGAGAGCGGTAGTTCAGGGCAAGTGTCGAGATGGGGGTGAAGTCGATTGAGGCTCAACAGTCAGGTAGTCGTGGATGTAAGCAGGTGGTTGCTAGAGCAAGAGTGCAGAGCGGAGTAGAGCAGATGTTGAACAGGAAGTTTGGAAAAAGGAAAGGACGGCCGGAAGGTTTTGGGTAATGGGAGGGGGAGAGGGAAGCGAGTTGGAGGGAGTAGGCAGAGCTAAAAGGGAGGGAACGGCTGGAACGAGAAGACGAGCTTGTCTGTAATGGACGGGACGGGATGGGATGGGATGGGACGGGATGCAATGGGTGGTGACGAGGTTGACGCCACAGACGGGCATGGACAGAAATGAAAAAGTAAAGTAAGGTATTTATCTACCCAGATAGTACCATTGCATGTCAGTAGCAAGGCATGTCTGGGCTGGCCTTGCTTGAACCCCTTAGAAATTAGGATGCAGACTAGGTAGAGCTAGAGCGAGAGCGATTAGCATGTGCTTTCCTTCTCATCCACCACCACCACGTCTTGTCGCGACTATGTCAAAGGCTGAGGGAAAGGAAAACCAACGAGACGCGCAGGAATGCCACTGGTGGCGGGGCTTGGACCAAGTATCCCTACCCGCGAGGTACATTGGATGCACTGGTTCAGGACATGCATCTCCTCGACCCTCCACACGGCCGCATGCCAGCGGGAGATGGTGCTCCTGCTGCTGCACCATCAGGAACGGTTGCTCCTCGAGATTGAAGCTTGCTTCCTGTGTGTGAATTCCTTTTGCCGTGTCTCGAACGTCGCCGCCCTGCGAAGATCTGTCTTCGTTTTTCGTCCCTTGCCCTTCTCCCTCTGCCTTCCCAGCGTTCCTCCATGCCGCCGTTCTTTCGTTGACCGGCAGCGGAGCCCAAAGTTCACCAGGTAAGGTCAGGTAAGGTGAGATGAGGTCGAGGTGAGGTGTGGCCGAATTGCGTGCCTTATCTCGCTCTCACTTTCTTGCCCTCCCTCGTATGACATACGGCAGCCCCGTCTCGGAGCTGGTCACTGCAGAATATAATGCAAGAAGATGAGGTACGACTTGGTCATTGGTACACTCGTTCATCAGAAGCAAGAGCAGCATCAACGCAGTCTCGATGCATCCCTATCATGACCCCGGGCTTTTAACATGTGAAAGTGAGGTGGTTTGTTGCCCCGCCCGCTGGTGGTCGAGCTGCGCAAGAAATCGGAGGGGAAAAGAGGGGCGCAGCGGCGGTATCGGTAATGTGCCCGGCTCACTTCCCTTAGTAGGGCTCTGGGCCTTTTCATCCTTCCTGTCACGATCTGGTCATGAATTGCACCTCAATGCCCATCTAGGTCCGCAGTGTGAATATGGTCTCGAGCTTTCCACTCGCTGGTGGTCGAGTCGCTGCTCAACACGTATGCGTGCTTCACATGGCCGTGCCTTATCTGCCAGCCCGTCCTGGGAGCAGTTGTCGATCTGTGTTCCGAGGAGTGGGCTGCTGCTCGGGCTTTGGTCTGTGAGTACCTTACCTCTACACTGTAAGGTAGGCAGGCTCTGGGTGAGGTGGGTTGAGCATGGCAGGTGGCACCTAACCTGGAAGCAAGTGACAGCCTGTGAAAGGTTGCATCCGTGTGCTCCTTACCCTAAGGTAGGGTACCTTAGGTGGGTAGGCACCTACTGCGTTGTAGTGTTAGGCACGCCGCGCTTGGGGCTGGTGATGGGCCAACCTCAGTTTACCTTAGCAGAGGATCTGAGGTGAGCTGATGCGCTGCCCAATTACCTCACCTTACGCTGTGGCTGAGGCGTCCCGGTACCTTTCCCCGGGGAGGCACGATACCTTGACCCAATTGGCCCACTGTGAGTGAGCTTATCACTTCACATTTCTCAAACTTAATCACGGGGAAATTCCAAGCCAACGGCTGCGCTGGGCCGCGCTACTACACAATAGCGTAACACTGAGGAGGCATGGCCTCTATCACGAAGTCAGGGTGAGGTCGTTCCCATGTACCGCGTTACCTGCCGTTCAGTGTCGCTGGCTTGTGACTTTCTGACCTTTTGACACTTGCCTGCTCTGCCATCTTTTGGGACATGAGACCACGGCCCTTACCCTGCGGCTATTTCTCCTACTCCCTGTCCCTTTCGTCATCTGCATCATGTTTGACCGAAACACTCCGCCGAGCTACCAGTCCGAGAGATTGGGTATAATATCCGCCGCGATGCGCCGCTAAGCACCATAGCCTTCCAATGACTCCCTTCCTCTTCTCTCACAAACCTTCCCGTGCCGTCCCTGGGCAGGAACCCAGCTTCACGAGCCTCGGACTTTGATGCTGCAGGTTCTTTTACGCTCACTTCGATCCATCAATGGTTGTCGAACCGGTGCATATCATTGACCCTGCCTCGTCCGCCCATAGCGATCAACCTGATTCTCTTCGCTACGTTAATACGACTGGAAAATTCTGCCCTGGTAGTGGCTCTTTCCGCTGCGAACCCTGCCGTCCTGTCCTCCCTTGATGGCGTTCGCTGGCAATCCTCTCGCGGCGCTGCACTAGCCACATATGCCCACATTCACATGTCAGACATGGCTCAACGTAAGTATCATGCAAGTTTGCTCTCGACTGCCTACGGCGTACTCAACAGTGGAATCCTCGCATAATGATGCCTGCATCTAGTGGATGTAGATTCTTTTCAATCGTGACTTGCCGACACGGCAGAGTGAGCATCGTCGTCCATCACCTTCGTCAAAAACACGGACGTTGACGTCGCTTTTCGCGCTACAGCGACCACGGCCGCGAAGGCCAGAATAAGGGGGCGGACGCAAAAGTCCTTGCGTCTTGCGCAACCGCTCAGTGAAAAGCGGGGTTTTAGCCGTGTGTCATCCCTCTCAAGACACAGTATAGAAAAAAGAAAAATCCTATTAGCTACTGGGTTGGAATGTCGCCATTTGCGCGAGCGCGACAAGAAACTCCACTGAGTGATTCTCCACCGCAAGACCGTGCCGAACCTCGGATCAGCAGTCTCGGGCTGCCATTATATGCCTGGCGAAAGAATGAAGCTTACGTCGGCACGGAGTCGTTGTCGCCGTCCCCATGTGTCGCCGCTCCCGCCATGGGGACGGCGTACCTAATGCGGCGAAGAGCCCCACCCGCTCTACCGTCCCGCTGGCGGCTCCGATGGTGCTTTGCCGGCATCCCGGAGGCTTACCATCTGGTGTGCACATACAAACATAGTTAACAGACCAATGAGAGAGGGTAAGAGCGTTTACCCATTCGTAGGTAAGACACACAGCAAACACAACTTGCTTGCCAGTCAGCCAGCGCATCGACAAAGAATGGAACCGTCATGCACGCTTCGCCGCCGGGGAGATCGGCACTCCTCATTTTCGGGACGGTAGAGCAACCGCAATCCTCCCGCCTGTCCTCCGGCGAGTTGATCTCAATGCTTTCGCCATACGGTTTGTCTTGGTACAGGGCAACACTAGATAGGTGCAATGGGGCTGATGCGCAAGAGTTATATGCAGCAGATGGAACCTATCTACGCAGTAGAGAAGATTACGGATGCTTCATGGAAACCCCGACCTCAGATAAAGGCACTAGAGTATGGCACGGGCAGCGCCCGAGAATGCATGCGGGTCGACAATCAATCTTGCGAATCATTCGTCCAAGAGCGGCACGCCTGAACAACGATCAGGGCTTCGGGACTGGCGCTCAGATCGTGACAGGGTCCAGCCCGCGACACTTGGGCCATGAAGTCACAGTGCCGGTGATACCGTACACATTCGGAGTTCTCTGCATGGATAAAGCAAACAGAGATGATGGGGCAGAATGCCCAGGGAGCGAGCACGAAGGACGACCAACTGCACTGACCTTTTGGCCTGGCTTCACGCAGATATACACTGGTGTATGCTGCGGATGAGTGCGAACATGTGCAATGCGTTCCAGCATTGAGGCACTGCAACAAGGCCGAATCGTATCCGTACAGTCCCACGTCCAGGATTCGACAGAGTGAGGAATTTGGTACTCAACCCCGGGCCGTGGGAGGGTGGGGGGGAGCACGGGTTGCAGGTCCACGGCTGGCTTCTTTTTGTGCGGAGCATTATCTGTATTATAGAAGAACTGGTTTGGTATACTGCTACTGTGGTATGGTACGGGGGAGGTATCCAAAGCTGCCTTGTGCTCCGCGTCTTCAACCCAGAATATCGGGTCAAAGCGCTGGCTGGTGGCACCTGTTTTTGTCAGCAAGTCGGACCGCGGTCGTTCATCGCTCGGCGCTACTGGACCGTAGGTTTGTGACAAGTTATATGGGTGTTGGGACTGTCGCCCACAGTCCGAACCTGAGGATTCACTGACAACGCTAACAAACAAAGTCGACACTCCCTGCTGGCACACTGTCTGCCGTGCTGCCAGTGTCGAAAGGATTCGACGGATGTTTCGGTACCCAATACCTTATCTAAATAAAGTAGGGAGCATCTTTCCACCCCGCAACAGATTGGACGACTCGAGAGTCGAAATAAGCCCGGCGTTCGTTGGTTGGCGCGATTGGCGCTTTGGTTCTGGCAGCGATCGCCAGTCGGTGGACAGGTGAGAAATCTGCGGATACTAAGGTAGCTAGTGTCGGGGATTCTTCGCGTGGACCCATCGCTTATTTTCTTGTTTCTTTTCTCCTTATCCCACAGCCACAGATGCTCCCCGTTACAAGTAGTGTACGCGTACTTTGTTATAAATCTTGGGCTCTGCGGCTACTTGTCCCTGAGACGACCCCTGATAAAGCCCTCGATGAACTTGTGAAGTGCGTCAGGATGAAAGGTACGAATACCCAGTAGTCCGGGAGTGGGAGGGAAAGGGCACCGAGCAGCCGGTGGGTTCCACTTACACTAGTGAGTGGCTCTGGTGCCACGGATTATCGCACTACCGTATGCACTGCGTATTGTCAATACCTGCTCGTGTCTGTCATGGTTTGCGTCGGGGATGACTAACTTCTTTATCGGTCGCACAGTAATCGGCAGCGATATGAGCCGGGGCGAGGGTCGTCACAAGACGCGACGACACGGATCTGTCCCCTCCCCAAACACTTAAGGCTCTGTTTATGTGGGATGCGATGCAGAAGCGGCGATCCGGGTTCGTCGTGGTTCCTGGGTGGTGCCCTCACGCGTAGGAGCGGGCTTCAGGGTCAAGCAGTTTGCACGCAGTATCCGTACTATGCTGCCATGGGAAATATGGCAGCATGGTTGGCATTGTATGTATCGGGGGCGGGTGATGGAGAAGGGGGGCGGCTTGAGCGCGCTTCGGCAGATGATGTATTCTGAGCCCGAATTCGTCATCCATCTAGAGGGGCATGTCGGAAGGTTACATTGTTGCGCGTATCTAACATTTTGGACGACCGTGACCCTGTTTATACAGAAGACAAAAATTCGGCGACGATTCCGTCCCAAGTCTGGAAGGCGTTCGTTTCTGCGGAGGTTGGAAGAGCCCCCCACCGTCCAACGTCTTCAGTGGCGTGTAGGTATGAGAAACGGACAGGTCGGACGGACCTACCTACCTACGTCGAATACTAGGTAGTCAAGTATAGGTAGTGTAGGCAAGGGCAATCAGATTCAAGGACCAAAACAGACAGCCGCAATCATTTTAGGTCCAATATTCGGGCACAGATGTGACCAAGAGACGACAGAATTTCCAAACGAGACTGGTAATTTCCCTCGTCAGCGACCGGTCTTGAAGGGCGGCGTCTGTAATTGGCTGTGATCTGGTTGCTGCATAGGAGATGGGCGCGGAGGGCGGGGCTCAAATTTGGGAGGGCGACCAGGTGCACCGGATGGCCCTGCAAGTGATGGTCCACTACCGTACCTACCTTACCTTACACTAAGGTAAGGTACCTACCTAAGGTACCTAAGGTGAGGTAGGTAAGGTACCTTAGCTTGACGAGATGGAGGGGCCCCTGCGTCAGTGAGTGGGTGGGGTGAAGTGGTGTAATTACGGATACTTGCATCTCACCACAGGTCCAAGTCGTGGAGCGTGTTTCTTTCTCTCGTCGGGACCAACGGGCGGCGGACGGTGGATGGGACGGCAGACATGGCGAGACAGAGACACAAAGACAAGGTGGAACTGGAAAACGACACCGTCGACACGACAGAGTCCGTTTCAACGGGCCATTTGGCAGTTGGAATGCGAATCTATGTCTGTGCCGGTGCCTCCTACACTAGGTACTGCACTCTACTCCAGGCCAGGCCAAGTCCGTGCGGACCCGCCTTTGTTCTTCTTGAGGAGCGTGGAAAGTCGACTCTTCGAGACCAGGCCGCTCCCGATGGTCGTTGCTTGTATCCCGTCCTTGCAGATCGACTGACGCCTACAAACGAATCACCAAACACCTTCTCCTTTGAAGCCATATCACATCGCCGTGTTCGCGGTCCAGACCCAAACACTAGGGCGCTGCGGAAGAGTCTCAAGTCACACACTCCCGCCCAGGTTGCAACAGCAAGAGTCAAGGCCGTTACTTGCCTGGTCAGGAACATGACGGTTCCCTCCCCTGTTACAAGGTTACCTGGCTACGGATGGCCTGCAAGCCTGTCATCCTGGCCCAGTGCCCTGAGCATCCCCCCTGTTCTTTTCCTGAAGCTGCATACAGTACGGATACTCCCCCTGCACACCCGTCCCCCAATTCTCTGTCAATCCTCTGTGCTGTTGTGGCCCCTCCCCTCTCCTGTCTTCTCTTTCTCTCTTCTGTGCCTGCTGTATCCGCATGTACGACACTCACCTACCTGCGGATACCTCCTGCATGCTTACAGCTGCAGTTGGCTCCAGACCTTAATTCCCCGGCACGCCATCTGCCACTTTGCAATGATACCTTAGGTACCTACCTAGGTAAGGTACGGTATTGTGCCTTAGGTGCGCTACCTAGTATACTCACCTTCACCTGCTGGGCCCATCCCTCTTACTCGTCGTTCACCTCATCTTGGACCTTACTACGTACCTACCTACCTACCTACCTTACCTGCTGCCCAAAGCACCTGCACCTACCTAGGGAGGTGCTTGGTCCTCTTTTGCTTCATCTTAGCCCGCCCGCCAGTGGCACACCCTCGCTTTCTTGTCGTCTGCATCTCCACGCCCACGCCCTCGCCCTCGCCTTTCCCCCAAACACTTCCTAACTTGACACCCCCCCGGCCAGTCCTCTCCTTTTACCTGAACCGCCTCTTCTTGTCTCGTCTCCAATTTCTTGCCTTTCTCTCTCTTTCTCCCTCTCCCTCTTTTCTTGTTCCTTCTCTCCCCCACCTGTCACCGAGTAGTCTATCAGTCAAGCAATCTGTCGGTGCCTGAGCCTCAACTTCTGCTCGACCAGACCGACCCGACAATTGTTGTTGCTGTACACTCGGCCTCTTCGAATGGCGGCCTTCTGAGCAACACCTCGCCCCCGACTCCTTCCTCGACGAGAGCTTGCTCTCCTGGTAGCTTGATCGTCGTCTAATTCACCGTTCCGAATTTCCTTGCGCATTTATTCCAGCACGCTGGACACGTCGTTGCGACCCGGATTGCCGCCCGCTAGATCGCACTTCCAATCTCTCGATATCCTCCACGACAATCCTCGAAATGGCGCCTTCATTGAACGCACATTCGTCCTTCACCCGGCCCCGGACCGGTGACCGTGATGGTCGGCCCGTCACCCGCGACCAGGCCGACAACAATCTTATTATTCCGAGTCGTACCTCCTCCCTTCACTCACGCATCACCCAGCCGATTCCCTCAACCCTAAACGCAAAGCCCCAGCAGCGAACGCCCAAGACTCTGACCCACGCCTACATGGTCTGCGGTGTTGGCAGGGAGCCTTCACAATGGGTAAAGGCTCCTGCCCCTGCTCAGGGCAAGATAGGTCACATGAAGGGCGCGGTTGGACAATTTTGGCTGCCCGAGATCCTTGGAAGCAGTCCTAGACTTGAGCAAGACAATGAGATCGCCAGGTCGTTGCACGCCGCCATGCGGGTAAGTCGCCGTTCGCAACCCTGGTTGCATGAATTTTGGTGTGGCTTACGCGAAGCAGGCTTGCTTTCCCCACGACGTTGAGATTTGCACCGGCCGCAGTCAACCTCACTGCGTCCATCACGCATTCGTCCTGCAGCAAGATTCTTCCCATACACTGTACGGCATCTGCCTTCGTGTGTGGTCCAGGGCCGATGAGAAAAGAGCCGAAACCATTAGGGACCTGCGCAAGAGGACCGAACCCGACTACTACGATAACCCGGATGAGACTTATTGGATTCCCTACTGCCTGTCCTTCCTGTCTCGGTACCCGCTCTACAATCTGCTCGGAGACTATCTGCGTGGCATGTGGATCCACTGGAACAAGGCCACTAACTTGTTTCATGCCGAAGAGGTCTCGCGCATTCTGAGCTTTCCTGCCCCGAGACTGAACGACTTGGTTCGAATCGACATGAAGGATTATGCTTTGTGTTATCAATTCCCCTCTTCGCCGACTGGCTTCCAGAATTTCGCGATGT